AATACGAATTACAATAAAAATTAAATGTTCAACACTTTCAAATGTGGGAGTGAGCAGCATCAATCCCAAGCAAATTTGTCATCTAAATAATCTGTAACCGTGTAGTAAGCATTCACACATAGTTTTTGTTTAACTAATGACTTAAATTTGTAAATACTTAATTCATGAAATTTGCTTGGCATTTTATTGTAGAATCACATACCCTGACATCGAAAAGGCTTGCTTACTTCTTGTAGTCTAGTTGTTGGCAACACGAGTTTATCTCTATCGATATTATTCTAGTTATTTCTAGTGTTTATATTTTGGATTTGTAAATAAATGAATATTCTTCTTAACATGTACTAAATTTTCATATATTGAGATACGACTGTCATAACTCTGTCATAACTGGATCATCAAACCAAGTGTCACCCTGATATTGAATCCTTTGACTTTTCTCCGGTATCTTCTGAGGACATCAAAAAGATTATCCTATCTATTCGTTCTAATGCTGTAGGATGTGACTGTATCAACCGTCGCATGATTGTTACCATCCTGGATCACATTCTTCCAGCAATATCTCATATCATGAACTTTTCACTCGACTCTGCAACCTTTCCCTCACTCTGGCGTAAGGCCTTCATCATTCCTTTACCCAAAAAACTAACCCCTCTCTCCCCGAACACTTTCGACCAATTTATATACTTTCCTTTCTTTCTAAAGTGCTAGAGGCCTGTGTACATAAGCAGCTCGCACAGTTTGTAAATCAGCAGCATCTTCTTAGTCCTTTACAATCTGGGTTCAGACCTGGTCACAGCACAACCACCGCTCTCCTCAAAGTGACAAGCGATATTAGGGAGGGTATGGAGGAGACTAAAGTCACAGTGCTGGCTTTAATTGATTTTTCGAATGCCTTTAATACCGTTAGTCATGACGTTCTACTGGCCATCCTTTCCTATCTTATGATCTCCTCAGAAGCTCTGGAATGGTTCTCATCCTATCTTCAGGGACGACAACAGAGTGTTCATATTAATGACTTGTCGTCGAGTTGGTGTGATCTTCTCACTGGCGTCCCTCAAGGCGGTATATTATCTCCCTTATTATTCTCAATATTCATTAATCTCATAACCCAGCACCTTCAGTGTACGTATCACCTGTACGCTGATGACTTACAAGTATACACACAGACAAGGGTTGAGGACATAACATACGCTATCGACAAAGTCAACAATGACTTGGACTTTATAAAGAGCTGGTCAACGAGGTTTGGTTTGTCGGTAAATCCAACCAAATGTCAAGTGATCGTCGTGGGGAGCAAAGAAATGAAAAGTAGGTTGGATATGGCGGTCATCCCCCCAGTTGTCTACAACAATGTGACTATACCTTATAGTGCAGTGGTAAAGAACCTGGGTTATATATCGACTCGACACTTGACTGGCGGGCACAGGTTACACACGTCGGCCAGAAAGTAAATGTCTCCGTGCCTTATATCGATTGAAGAACTTCCTTCCCGCTAAAACTAAGGCTACGCTTATGCAGACCTTAATTATTCCCATAAACGACTATGGTGATGTGTGTTATTTCGACCTGAATGCAGACCTTCTCAATAAACTAGATCGCCTTCTCAATAACTGCATTCGGTTCGTTTTCAATCTTCGCAAGTATGACCACGTGTCTGCTTTACGTTCCCAGCTGCAATAGCTCCCAATTCGTCAGCGCCGCAGTTTACGAGCACTGACTTCTCTCTTTTCTTTCCTCAACTCTCCATCGTTACCTGAATACCTCGTACCCACTTCCGTTTCCTATGCTCCAATCACGATCAAAATCTTCGATCAACCAACAACATGCTTCTTCGATGCCCCCCTCACACCTCTAACTTCAACAACTCCTCCTTCTACGTCCAGTCAGTTCTCCTCTGGAATGCCCTCCCTGCCGAAATCAGGATGTCAACAAATCGCCTTGCATTCAAGAGAAAAGTGCGCGATCTTCTTCGGGGTGAATTGGCGAAATAGTTACAGCTCTAGTTCCCGACTGAGTATTTATATACTTATTTTATTAAATTTATGTAGGTTTATGTATGCATGTGTGTTTTTATATTGTGTATGTTTCTGGACCTAAATTATGTTAATATCATATTTAATTTTGCACCTACCGCATCATATTTCTACATAACCTGAAGGTTGACTGGGAGAGAATGCCTAATGGCATTAAGTCCGCCTTTGTACAATATGTGCATTAAGTTTAAAATAAATAAATAACACCAACTTCTTTAAACCTATCCCTCAGTGACTGCCTAAAACTGAAATTATAAATTGCATGAATAGCTCTCTTTTGCAAAACAAAGATACTCTGAGTGTCAGCAGCATTTCCCCACAACAAAATACCGTATGACATTACACTATGAAAATAGCTAAAATACACTAGTATAGCTGTTTCTACATCGTTTAATTGACGAATTTTATAAACCGCGTATGCTGCAGAGCTGAGTCTATTCGACAATCCATCAATGTGTGGGCTCCACTGCAAGTTAGAGTTATACCCAAAAACTTGGTGGTGTCCATAACATCTAACTCCTTTCCATTTATCAGAACACTAGTTTTTATCTGCTTAACATTGGGTGTAAAAAATCTAATACATTTAGTTTTTATCTCGTTTAAAAGTAAGTTATTACCGTTAAACCAGTTAACGACCTTGAAGAGAGTGTTATTCACATCGTCAATAACTAATTGCTGTCGTTTCAGTTTAAATAAAAGTGAAGTGTTATCCGCAAATAGCACTATCTCCTGATTATCTTATCAGGTTAGGTAGGTCATTTATATAAAAGAGAAACAAAAATGGGCCAAGAATTGAGTCCTGCGGAACCTCCATAGTGACCCGACGGACCTCTGTCCATTAACTTCCCCTCTCTGGACCCCATCACAAATATGAGATTAGAAGATCCAAAGCAGTATTCCTTATTCGATAGTGATGCAATTTCCTGATCAATTTTTCATGAAAAAACGCAATCGTATGCCTTCGACAAATCTCAAGAAACAACCAGCGTAACCCGTTTATCCTCCCAGTCACCAAATATATGTACTTTCGAGAAGTTCAACACAGGCATCACTTGTCGAGCAACCTCTTTTGAAGCCAAATTGTTTCCTGTGTAGAACATTGTTTACAATAAAGTGAGTTTGCAGCTGGTCTAGTATTATTTTCTCAAAAATTTTACTGAAAGTAGGTATCACTAAAATGGGTCTATAATTTGTAGGATCAGACGTACTACCCGCTTTAAATAAAGGAATGATCTTACTATGCTTCATTAAGTCAGGAAATACACGACATTCAATGCACTTATTGAAAATTAAGGCCAACTCTGATGCAAATATTCTAATAATTTACTCTGTTATTTATACAGAATTACCCCAAAGGTTTTCTTAACAGTAAGAGCTTTGAAGGTTTTAACAATATCTCCGTCGGTGATACAACTAAATCTCAACTCAGTATTACAAATTTTAATATTTTCTTTCAATATTCTGCAATAGTGGGGGACGAATTCAATGACTGTGTGGTCGAAACTGGAATGTCTGTGAAAAAATTTCAAAAGCTGTGGCAACGTCTTACTCGAATTTAATTTCTTTATTATCAATTGAAAGGCTGTAATAATTACATTTGTTCTTTCTTTTCCGGTTGCGGCCTTAATTATTTCCCAGGTCATTATAATTTTATTGGAGCTATTGCTAATTTTAGATTTTAAGTAATTAACCTTTGCAGCATGACATATCTTTTTGAATCAATTGGAATATTTAAACAATATAATTAACATATTCACGAAATTCCATACTAGTGTTATAATTTCGTTCTTCATAAAGCTCATAAAGCCTTGTTCTACTTTTATATATTCCTACCGTGGCCCATTAAGTGAAGGTAGTAGCTCCTTTAACTTCTGACTTCTAAGGATTAAAAGTTGATTCAAATTCTGAACAATACATTTAAAAAAAACATTATATAATTGATTAGGATCATCATTATAACCCAAGATGGACAGTTTACTAAGCAGTTTTTATTTTATGTTAGAGGGGTCAGACGAGCAGACGGGTCACCTGATGGAAAGTGACCATTCCCGCCCATGAATGTCTGCAAATCCGGAGTTCCAAACGCGTTGCCGGCCTTTTAGGAAGGAGTACACTCTTTTCTTAAAAGTTTGAAGGTCGTATCGGTCCGGAAATACCGCAGACGATAACCCGTTCCACAGATTGGTTGTGCGGGGCAAAAAGTGTCTCGAAAAACGCACAGTAGTGGAGCGCCAACTATCAAGGTAATGAGGATGAAAATTTTGCCGTCTGGAACAATGGCGGAAATTTGCGGCTGGTATTAGTCCGAACAATTCCTCGGAGCACTCTCCGTGATATATGCGATAGAGAATGCAGAGTGAAGCCCCATCTCTACGTAACGCCAAGGGATCGAGCCGATCGGAGATGTTTGGGCTATCGACGATTCGAGTCGCTCTTCGTTGGATACGGTCCAGAGGGAGAAGCTGGTACTGAGGTGCCCCTGCATAGAGATGAGAACAGTATTCCATATACGGCCGGACTTGCACCTTATAGAGCTGAAGGCGGTGGGCCGGAGTGAAAAACTGCCTCGATCTGTTCAGGACACCGAGCTTCTTCGAGGCCAATTTGACCTTACCCTCTAAGTGACCCCGAAACTGGACTTCGCTCGATATGTCAATGCCTACGATTCCGATGCTGGCTGAGGCAGTTATGGAGGTGCTCTAAAACTGAGGTGATTCGACAAATGGTATCTTTTTTGCGGTGAACGCACATACCTGTGTCTTTTTTGGGTTAAACTGGACTAGATGTTTGACTAGACTTTAAGGATGACCCTATCTATTCATATACAGCGAGCTCGAAGATAGAACGAACCATTATAAAATATACCTACTCTGCTCTTTATTTTTAGACAATTTTCAAAATACAAACAAAAACTATTCAGTGGTTTAGAAACAGGACATTTTTTTTGTTTGCAGAATTTGCAACATCATGTGTAAGTAAATGCAGTCATAATACATTGACCTCAGACGTTGATCAGTTGTATAATGAATAAACGTATTCCTTACAGAAACGCGATTTCCACACATTTTAAATATTATCAAATATTTTTAAGCCTTACCATTATTACCGGAGTCCCGGGAATATCGTCATATACTCGTACATACTCTACTCTAATAACGTCTCAAATAGCACCCAAATTTCGATCACTAATAATAACAAAATTATATACTCACAAATGGATCCAATGTCCGCTTCATAGCCGTAAGTTTAGAGCTTAGTAAATAAATCGATGTTCTCAATGTTCATGAATACACAGATGTGAAACTACGAAATATAGCAGTTAATATTTTTTTACTTAGCTTTTTACATCTTCCGCTAATATTGAGCAGAAAACCTAAAAATTCGAAGGACTAGAAAATTATTTTGAAAAGCTATTTACAATTAAATATAACCTGAGATATTGCATACATACATTATTTTTCTTTTTTCTGTGATTGCAGAACGCATGTTAGACTAACTGAATTTAAATTAATGTGAACGCATTGCAAGTTGACAGTTGCGTTACAAGGTAAACAAATATAGTCCGTCATAGTCTGTGGCGATAGATAACAATAGCAGCAGCAGTGTGTATTATCTTTATTTATTCGTATTTGTGAATCCAAGCCTTCACATTCGTTTACCTAGAAAGAGAAGTCCATACCGAAGACAGTATTGTTAAAGTGTATTAGTAATAAACGCCACTTCACCTAGGATAGCAATACTTGTAAGTGTATTAAGATAAACTTCTACCTTTTGGGTGCGGTTGTTCTAAATATGGACCTATAGGTCTATAGTTTTTTTCAAATTGTAAAGGTCAAATATATTTTTTCTATATAAAAAACAAAATAAATTAATTAAATGGTAAAATGATGTGAATTCCTATCATTGCTTCGATCATAAATAATTGTCGAGAGTCTACAGTTATTTTAAATATTATTTACAAATTCATTCCAAAATCAAATTTTGTTTACAAAGAGTTTACAACTTATAGGTACGTCAGTCATCCATGAAGTGTCATTTAAACGTCATTTAACTTTTTAAAGGTTGTGATTAATTTATCAATTGAGAAACTAATGGGCAATATGTTACTTACAATATATGCATTTGGAATTGGCATTTAAAAAAAATGGAAACTTGTATCAGCCTACCCCAAAGCCTAAATAATAAAATATCAGCCTGCAGGGTACATTGATAAACTATTTAAAAACAATAATATATTGTAATAACTGTATTTATGTAAACATCAAATGGTATAGTTAATGATAACTACATCATTTTATGTATGTTCACAATGGAATATTTAATATTTTGATGAATATCAAAAAGGCAATATTAAAATAAATATTAGAATATGTACATCTGAGACAGGTCAACAAATGTATCCTAATATTTACTATAACAGCTCTGAAACATTAGTATGTGCAATAAATAAATTGACTATAAATTACACATAGAGAATGACATTATTATACAAATATAATATATTAACCTTTAATTTTACATTTTTTGTTCAACCGCTACATAAACAAGTTTTAGTAGTTATTATATTTTCAATCTTTATCTTATGAAGCATATATTATATTCAAGGTTGTTTTTATTTAAAAAGTTAATACTAGTAGTACTATCAGTATTAACCTTAATTACAAATACACACTCACAGTTAACTTACTATATAGGGTTACATTGTTATCTATTATATTAAGTATCAATGTAATGTATAATAGCAGTTCAAAACTGTTTTAATGTCTGTGTTCATTGCTTTTCAACTCATTGGATCTGGAAGCTTGTTAAATATCTTAAATAATCTTGTAGAATCAATCTCGTAGAATGCCATCACTTGCGAGTCTACCTGGTTTAATCCATTTTTATTTGTTTATCAATTGTATTGTTATGGCATTTCTCTTAAAGTAGATTTCTGGGTATTTGCAGACAAATTTAAATATATATGTAATTCTAAAATACATGTACAAGGTCTGTTTGTTGCCTGTTTCATCAACAGCCTAAAATAGACCACTGCTGGACATAGGCCTCTCCTTAGAAAGGAGGTTTCATCTTGGTCTGTTCCATCTATTTAATCTATTTTTCTCTTCTATCTATGTTTTTGTTCTAATCTTATCCTACTTCTAAAATAATTTAAAATTAATAGGTAGGTAGGTGTTTGCCTGTGATTGGTTGAGCAGTTAGATTTAAGACACAAATACTTGAATGTTCCTACCTGTATTATATCTGTACCAACTATTGGTGAATCTTAAATAAATAAGACAACTCCGGCACTAGGAATATATCCTGTGTTGCGGGGGACTTTACAGAACTACATGAAATGGACACAAAGAACACCCATTATATTCTTATCTGCCTTCCTTTTTCTATTCATTATGAACATTGAAGAGGTCTTGATTATTCTATCACAGTGGGTCCTCCTATAAAAACAGATATACTTAAGACAATTAGGCTTCACAGACATGAAATTTCAGATTTAACGGACCGAGAAAACAAAATTGCATTAAAATAACTATTTATAAATTTGTTGCTATCTAAATATTAATTAAGTGATGATTTCATGGCCACAGAATAAATATATTTTGGAAACGACAAAATATGTCTCTGTATAGCAGGCAGGAAAAATATTCAGTTTCCATAGCCCCGTTAAATACACTTAAATGTATGTATTGTATCATGTCCTCAAAAAATTAGATACAATCAATATGTATCGCTTGTCCTTTTGGAAACAAGTGAAAAAATAACAACATCGAAAGGAAGTCGCCCAAAGACATTTTCGTTAGAAACTGCCATTAAACATGATCGAATACGACAAAGGAACATGGGAACTTCAAAGAGTTCAATACTAAGGAAGTTTTTCTTCTTCATATTTTTACTAAACCGCATCACATCACAATGCCCTATCAAGCTTCCGGTATATTTATAAGTGAAATCATAAAAGTCATATGTTTGTTAGATACTTCTAATAGGTAATTATCATTTGTTCTTGATATCCCAATATTGCGTAAATGCTAGTTTAGCAGGATGCGTTTTGTATGAGAAAATGGCACTACCTACGCAAATTTGACAACCCCTTAGCACGGTACTATTATAATACAGTATTGTAACTCGGCCGCATGATAGAAATAAATGCCTACAGCCGCGCGGTACGTAAACATGCGTTAGGGCTGCCCGTCTCCAGCATTTTAGTGATATTTGCCTACTTTCTGTTTCTATTTAGATTTGTGATTGTAAATATCCTTTTTATATAAATAAATGAAATACTTTGTATATTGAATAGGAATTGTTCAATAAAAATGCGTGTTGTTTTTTGATTGGTAGATTTAATTAAAAAACATTTTTTTGTTTGAAAAACCAATCGGGCTTATAAATTAGCGACCGAAAAAAAAACCTTCTATAAAATAAAATAAATGTGCTTTCTCCATACGCGTTACAAAACTCCAATCCTTAGAAACTCCAACACCTACCACCTACTCAACTAGAATGCAAGAAACAGCTGACGAGTAAGTAACTTTTTATCTCAGCTAATTAACGTCTCTATAAATTACCTAACCTATAACCTACAACTCGCAACAACTCAAAACAAAAATTCTTTGGTCACCAATTAATTAATTATTAAAAAGCTGAACAGCTGACTACGAATGTTTTAAAATCACAACCCTCAAACATCTAAATATTATATATGAGTCTAGCTGTTGTTGTTAATACCGAGAAAATAAAACCAGTTTTTAGTGGTATATGTTGTTATAGTAGCAGCAGAAACACTTTGTGAAAATTTCGAAAACTGTCTAATGACACACAGACGGTAACAAATTTTTTTTAGTATTATTCATATACACAGATAATAAAGATATATTATTAATAATAAAATACCACGTCTTTAAGTAGAATTTTCTTTTTTTTGAATTATGCAAAGTAACAAAACAAACATGCACCGAAGTTTTAACACAAGCGTAAGTAGGTAGGTACCTACCGTATCATGATTCATTCAGAACCGCATGTAACTCCCTATTTCACTCGTCTCAATAACTTTCCGTTACTCTATTTGCTTTATTTATTCATCCAAACACCTTTTTTTTCGTGAGATAAAAGGAAATACTTATCCATTAAAAAGACACACATTATGTACCTACGTACTAGTAAGTAAAATTATTTTATAGTCTTACTTTTCAGAGTTTCCAGGTAATTTAAAAAAACTTATGTCTGGATGCGTTATTGACGAATTCATACAACCAAAAACAGCACAATATTTCCTACTCGTCATATTAACTGATTTTTAGAGAAAAAATCGCGCGGTTATTGTTAAAAAAACAACACGCAGTCCGTTCGACACTGCGGTACAGCCGTGACTGTCTGCGCCCCGAGCGCACCCCGAGATCGAGGCGCGTAGGTATAGCTCCCGTTTCGTCCGTTTGTATGAAGTTGCAGTACTGTATTATAATAGTACCGTGCCCTTAGTGAGGTTGGCGAACTTCACTTAGTTGTTGTCAAATAAGTACTGACAGCACTACTAACATGAGATGAGATTTTAATTTAAAATTATAAATCACTATGTACCTATAGGTATTCTTTGAATAACACAAATTTATATGTGTCTACAAAGTAATAAAAACATTTTAAAATTAGTTTCTGCCATGTTTCTGCAGTGTTAGGTCTTGCGTTCGATCGATCTCGATTCACGAGTGGGGGCTGTTTCACTGCCAGTTTCGGCATCATTGTTCGAAGTTCGGCACAGTAAACATCTGTTGGTATTGCCTGACCAGACCTGAAAAAGCTATAGTGAATAACACCATGAAGAGACCACCAAACATTATCCCATTACCTTTTTATTGGTAAGCTTTGGGTTAGGGCACTATTGGTATTATTTGGTTTAGGGTTTAGCCATTGCATTTTTCGCTTATGGTTATCGTAAACAATCAACTTTTCGTCACATGCCACAATTTGATCCAATATGCCTTCATTTCTGTACCGATTCAACAAGGCAACAAGTTTTAACACGTATTCTTCTTCTGCAGATCTGTCAAATCATGAGGTACCCATTTTTCATATTTTTTTATCTTATTGTTTTGATGCAAATGAGTAAATAGTGTCGGTAGCGTAACGTTAAACCTAATTGACTCGGATCGGCTTCCACCATCTCCTTCAATTCAGCTTTATTCACCTATGTGGGCGGTCTTCCACGTTGTTCCTTCTTTATGTCGAAGTTTCCATAACGAAAGCGCTTAAAAAATAACGCATGGTGTGTTCATTAGCAGTCTCCTCTCCAAACGCAACGTTGATATTACTACTACTACTTATTATAACTCGTATTCAAAAATAACTCGGATTTCCGAAGTATCCATCTTTCACGTCTAAGCTGAATAAAAAAGATGTTTTATACTTAATATAATAACTTTAATTTTACTAATATCTATCAATAATATTTTTACAATTGAAATCTAGCATCTAGGCGAACTAAAAAGTAGAAAATTATTATCTACTTTTTAGCTCTGCTTGTTCCAAAACCGTGTTATTTAGTTTCTTTTCAACTATAATTTATTTATCCGTGAATTTACCATATTAACCGTTTTGTTTAACATAATTCTATTCCATACATTTTTTGATACTTTGTAATGTTGTTGTGACGAGTAATATAGGAAACTAACTGTTACGTACAAAAGCGCGCGAGCCACCTATGATAATAGAAACACAATAAATTAGTTTTCGTAAGCCGACCGAACAATAAATTACAAGACTTCAGTTTTATTCCTCATAATTTATTACTATAGTTACATACACCCCTACATGTTACAGCTACACAAGCGCACCTGTTTAATTTTTTTTAAACTACGTTTCTGAGTGAAGATTTTTCCTATTGCGAATGTTTGACATTAACCTATTTAAAACGCATAATAAGTAAAAACCTTATTGAATTTTTTGTTACACAATGTATTTTGTAAAAATATTTTTGCTTCTGTGTACTGGAGATACTCACATATAAAAAATATATACCTACACCTATGACTTTGAACATGTATTTCTATACTTTTCGTTTGAAAATCGCTTTTTAATCTAATGTTAGTACATGTACCTACTTTAATTTTACCAAAATATGAGTTGAAATAAACTCTATTTTATTGTACATTTCTTGTTACTTAACTGTGTTGTCTGGCAAACGTCTCGCTTATTACCTTCCTTTGAAAAGTGTTTCGGGACACCTGTTCTTAACACAATCCTGCAGCACACGGTGCTGCTCACCGTAACGTCTACATCACGTACTAGCCGGTATCTTTGTACGTGACACTGCAAACGAGTTACGGACTGTTTCGGTTCAGTGCCTCTTGTCCGGTACCGATGTGTATGTGTAACATAAAGCATTTAAAGGATTCAAGAAGTAGGTACCTACTTTGATTCTGCAATTGTTGCAATGTTTTTTTTTGAAGTTAATTTCTTATTTTGACAAATGATTTCACATATTAAATTGAATAATCGTGACTCATTTGATCCTTTTTTGTAGTTACTTGTAATATGATGAGACCTGTGCTATTAAGGACATAAAAATTCACAAAATACAGATTACGATGTCGGTATTGGATCTCTATCTCGCAGATATTGAGAAAATTGCTAACCAAATCCTTACTTATATCATAATATGATATTCCAATTTATAAACAGTTAAATCATTTAAACTGCAATATTTATCAGTGTGGCGTTAAATGTACCCAACTGTTTAAGTAAGTCAGTACTCATAAATCACTTGAAAAGCCATGTCCTTGTTTTATTGCCATATTCTTGTTTTATTTAAATCGAGCGAAGAGTTTACAATTGGTAATTTTAAATTTCTTCTCGCTTGTGAGCGCCATGCTTATGTGACGTCACTTTACTACGCGGCAGTCTTACTACGGAGTGCTACTGCACTACTTTCACACATTACCTTGTGTCACTCATTTATTGCTGCCGCATGAATTACGCTTCTAACAGAAGTTTTTATGTAAATCGGTGTTATAGCAGTACAACAAGTATATATTATGTACTATTATAAATATGATTGACATTCTCGTTACTAGTGTACCTAATTTGTTAGTGTGTAATGGTACTAGGTACTCGATACTTACCTGAATACCTACGCACTTGTGAAAAGGAGAGCACTACTAGAACAATTACGTGTTTTTTTAAAGTATTTTTTTTTCATATTAGATAAATAAATTTAGATATAAGTCCTCTATTGATCTCTCGTAATGACCTACACTACCTTTATTCAAATCCTCTTCAATTCTTTGATCGATCAAAATCACTCACTATCTTGTAACTATCTTATCACTGCGTTATGATAGTGAATCATGTTATGGTTTCAAAATCTTCGTAAGAATCATCACATTAAATTTAACGTTCTATTTCATTGCAGTGTCGTGCATTTGCTTCAAATTTTATAAAGATGGGCATCTTTTGTGAAATGAATCTGTTCAAACCATCCGACGGAGCTTATCATCCAGGTCAAGTAGTGTCAGGAAAAATTAAATATGCAGTAGATGAGCCCATGGAATTTGACAAGATCACGACGTCCCTTAAAGGAAATGGTTATGTGATTATAAGAGTCAGACACGGGAATAATCGGAGGAATAGAACCTATAGAAGTAATGAAGTTTACGTCGATAGAGACATTATAATTCAAGACACAAAAGTTGAAGTGCCCGTTGGTTGCTACGAAATTGACTTCAGTTTCACTTTACCTATGGAGCTTCCATCAAGCTTAAACATCCGAACATTTTATGGAAGATATAACATAACATGTAGAATAATATACTATATTCGCATAAAGTTTGAAAGACCTGGATTTTTCGCCTTCAACAAACATTTTAAGAAAGAAATTACTGTCATTTCTGGAGGAGTACCAAAGTTATCAAGAGAACCCGTTATTTATGGAGATACTAAGAAGGTAATGAGTATATGTTCCTGTAAAACCAGCAATATAAATATCAAAGCAACTATTTTAAACTCGGTTATACCACTTGGAGGCAAAATTATACTGAATTACGAAGTTGAGAATAAAAGCAATGTACTAGTGAAAAGTGTTGAAACGAAATTGGTTGAAATACATACATTTAAAGCTGCAGGATATAGTAATGTCAAGATTGAAAAAGATATACCAGACACTGATTGTAAGACTTCCGCCGTCAACTGTGGAGACACTCAAAGAATGCCTGTAGAAATAAATGTTTTATCTGATATACATTCTTTAGCAAATGCTACAATAGTATTAAGAGATTATTTTGTTAGAATTGTTGTTCAGTTACCAATACCACACATAAATGCGGTGCTAGATGTTCCTGTGCAGATAGGAGCGATTGACAGTGAAAGTACAGCTGGGGCTGCATTCCAACCAATTTCAGATGATAATGTACCTTCTATTGATCCACCGCCATCGTACTGGGAAGCTATGGGTGAAACCAAGAAGGAAGATGACGATATTACTGATGATGAGAATGACAATGACAAAGGAAAATAAATTGTATATTTAACTTTATATATGTAAAAGTGTAACGTGATGAATATTTTTATAATAGGTATGTTTTCGCACAATATTTTTTATATTATATTGTCATAAACTATGCTATTAATAAATGTTAATGTATAAATACTGTAATGCCAGATATGGAAAAAGTAAGCCAATGAGATTCTTTGTATAATAGTTATACGGTGACTTAAGTTGCAATGCAGAAATAACGGGTTCGAATTGAAATGGTTTACTTTTATCTCAAATTTGGCATAGTTTTTTTCTATGCCTAATAATTTTTATAACACACGTATTCCTAAACTAGCCTCTATGCAAGGATAGCAGGTGCTTAAAGCTGGAAATGTTTAATCTAGTGAGCGACCTCACCTTTTTTTCTTTTTTTTTTTTGTTGACGGGGTGGAAAATCCCTTCGGACCTCCTGCTCCTTGGGGACTATGAGCCAGGAGTATGTGGTGATTCCACTAAAAACCACCCCGACTGCCGGCCTCAGGTGTCCTACTCTGGGGAGGACTCGGACCATGTTATTTCAGGTCCTCCCCGAATTGATCCCAGGGGAGAACATTTCCTCCCTCAATCGCGGCATGGCGGCCCGATCGCATCTTAATGCAATCAGGCCCTCCATTCCATGCCCTACCGCAGCAATCAATTTGCCACTAGAGGTCCTGGCGGCCTGCGGCTCCTTCGACGGCTGTTATCGGCGCCGATGTCCTCTACGTTAGGGATCGGCCCTCTCCCGATCCCGTTCAGCGGTCTCTTTCTTTAGCATTACAGCTTCACAGAAAGAGACCACTAGCTGCGCCCCATCCCTCCTGACCCGCGAGCATGGCAGCAATAATTGCTGGCGGGGACAGGACTCGTCCAATATGGCCGACCAAGACTTCGCGTTCAGACGCCCACGCGGGGCAGTCTTCCAGCGTGTGCTGGGCGGAGTCCCAGTGGGCTGCGCAGTGCTGACATTGTGCCGTCTCCTCGCGTCCGATATGATTCAGGTACTCACCGAAGCAACCATGCCCAGTGAGTACCTGCGTCAATCGGTAGGTGATGCGGCCTCCCTCCCTACCTATCCAAGCTTCGAAGCTAGGCAGAACGGCACCGACAGCGCGTTGGCGCGCATTCCGCGGTTGTTCCAGCCGCGCGCGCCACTGCACCAGTGCCTGTCGGTGAGCGTTCCGCCGCATTTCGAGCTCGTCCCGGTCTTCCCCGCTCTCATCCCGGCGGATCGCGCGAGTCTGGTCGTAGACCCTTGCGTCCATATCCGCCACGATATCAAAAGGCGGGCAGCTTGCCAGGACCGTCGCCGCCTCCGACGATATGGTGCGGTATCCCCGTACGATCCGAATGGCCGCTACCCGCTGCACTTTATTGAGCTTAGCTCGGCAGCGGGAGGAGGCCGATAAGCGCTTTGCCTATATCGGCCATTGCCGGCACCACTGAAGAAAAAAGCCTGAAAATCAAGTGTGCGATTCATGCTTTCTCATCACCTTTATGAGGACTGACTCTGTGTCCGACCCTACTAGAGGCATATTACCTGGTCGAACGTATTATTCTTTATTGAAGGCACAGATGAACCTGGGCAGTTTTTACTCTAGCTCAAGGTAAACTGCATCGACGATACTGTTGTGATAAGATATACTTCTTCAAATTAAACGATCTACTAACACACAGACAGCTTTGTCTACTTACTACGCGTATGCATACTCGTGGCTCCGATATGGCATCATGCTATGGGGAAATAGCGTTAACAGCGGTGAACTATTCATAATGCAAAAGAAATGTATAAGAATCCTAGCCCAAATTAATAACACGGAGAGTTGTAAACCATTTTTTTAAAAATTTCAACTTTTAACTCTGCCCTCGATATATATACTCGACATATGCGTATTTGTGTTCAAAAATATTGATGCCTTTACAAAAGTAAAAGACACCCACACCATAAACACCCGGCACAAAAATAGGCTTTACCTTCCTCCGTCAAGAATAAAAATGTTGAACGAAAGCCCATACTATATGGCAGTTAAAATATTTAACAAGCTACCAGACGTTATTAAAAACGAAAGAAAACCACTACTTTTCCAAAAAAAAATTAAACTATCTCACACAAAAATGTTTCTACTCAGTCAAAGAATATTTGGAACCTACCTCAACATAACATTTACATAATTGCGATCCGCCCTATACAAATATTTACTAATTTTTTTTATCACTTAATTTCAATTTTAATATACAATATAATATAATTACTTTAATTCATAATAATATTCAAAGCTGACATGATTTTATTGACAAATCTTTATTTATTGTCTCACTTATTCTATAAATTCGTGCATATGGTATAGAAGAACTTTTAATAATAAAATTGACCTAGTATGGACTGTGAGCTGCTAGTGCAGCACTTTATGACACCTTTTGCACACCATTGTCATGGTAGAATGTACTGAACCAGTATCGTAATTATTGACATCTGTTGTATGTACTACATTCTGCAAATAAATGAATTTGAATTTGAATTAAGTCACAACCGCCTAAAAGCATTTTTATTACTAGGAGTCGCCCAGGTCGTTTTACTTGTGGTTTTCTCTCAACGAGATAGACGCTCTTGTATCAATGATCGTTTAATCTGAACCAAATTCCCTACCTAGTTATTTTAATACCTACTGCTGTATAAAAACTTAGCATTATACTTCAGCAATTTATAGGTACTACTTTTCAACGGTCATTACTTTTTACGTTTACTAACGTAAATTGAACCACTTATGTTTGGAATAATCCATGTCACGGTGAACATATCTAATCAGTAAACAAACTTGGGCTATATTACAACACAAATACTCGAACGCTTCGGTCCTTTTTAATTCTTTTAAATATGTAATGAAAACTACTAAATGTTACTGAACAAAAAGTTGTGTAGCAATTACATGTGTAAGTATTACTTTACTTTCTTTATTTTCACCCATCAAGTCACATGTTACTCGTAATGTGTGATAAATCGGAATGCCTAACATACTTAATCATGTTAAATAATATCGTAAACAAAAGTACTCCTTCTAGTCTAGTTTCAAGTCTCTTCCGACGGACTAACTGAGCTAAACCTATGTAGGCATCATTAATCAGATGCTCCAACACCACGAACTTTATTTGTGAACTGCCAAACTATCTGGCGACAGCTCTATCGTGTTAATAACATTATAACATATATCACTTGTTTCTATGATCAGGATTATGTTTCTGAAGCCGTTAACATTGACCCTTATCAAAAGTTTCTTTGATGTTGGACCCTTGTTGGTTGAGCATAGGAGGAATAATTTTCTGCTTGCCGCAAATGTAAATTAAACTGGTGAATCAAGAGATTTACATATTAATCCTGTAGTGATTGTTTAAATCACATCAAATATAATTGATTTATCTACGATTTAAATTAACACAGAAGGTCAGACACTTGATTTATATTCAGTGCTGTGTTAAATCACATTCACATTTTACTTATACTTATATAGGGCATACTGAACGTTTCTGGATTCTGATAAATGAGACTAGATATAAGACTTACGACACATTTATTGTTTTGCAAAGTACATTCCTTCGCAATTAATGCATTCTTGCATTCGCTGAAACCACTGTACAAAGCAGTTGGACTTGTCTTTCTTGGGGATCTCTTCAATGGCTTCATGGAACCCATTTACGGGGTAAAATGTGTAAAAAGTTTGTCTTTAATTTTTGGAAACAAATAGAAGTCGCAGGGTGCGAGGTACGTACTGTAAGGCGGATGCGTAATCAGTTCCACATTTGAAGCCTTCAAATAGGCTTCTGCTACCTTAGCGGAATGTGAGGATGCTATATCATGGTGAAGGAGGACATTGCTTCGAGGACGCTTTTCGCTATTTTTTTAAGACCGGGTCAGCAAGTGACGTACCAATCTGCAGTCACTGTCATTTGATTTTCAAGCGATACTGCAGTGTAATGTCCCGATTTGCAGAAAATAGAAGCAACCATTTTTTTACTTTTCTTACCTTTCATCGGCAAATCTTCAAAAGGAAAGACCGACTCTGCCAACTGGCTTTTTCTTTCGGGTTCAAAGAAGTACACCCAGGTTTCGTCACCTGTCACGATATTGTAGACAGCCAATGACTGTCCTCCTTTAAACTTTTTATCATTTTACGGCACCACTGGACACGCAATCGTTTTTTGGTCCTAAGTATCCGTTTGGTCGTTTGGTCATGCGGTATCCATCGAGTGCAAAGCTGCCGAACCTTCAGATGCAATATGCTTAGCAAAATTTGGAATTTAGACAACATGCACTTTTCTGGTTTAATTATAAAGTACGAAAAGCAACGTTTTTTAATGTTGTTTTATTAATAATCACATGATATTAATATAATATAAGACAAACAAATTGCAAATATCATGGATCAAAGTCCAGCACTAAAACAAGAACTCATCCCGGGCACACGTACACCAATATAATAATACTAATATACCCCTAAAGCAGTTTTGGAACACAACACATATATAATACTAACCGATAGAACCATAGGTACATTACAACCACCCCGATATAACCGTACAAGATAAAATAAATAATACCACTTACCTGATCTATATAGCTGTACCAAACGCTCACAACCTACAAAAACAATAGCAGAAACAAACTAATTATTGAAAAAACAAAACACCCCACTGTGTGAAAACATCCATCGAGCCGTTTAGGCTGCAGAGCGTGCCAAACATTTGAATTTGGCACCAAAAACCAATACCTACATGCTTCTTTATAAAGCTGCTATATCAAACACTTGCAGAATCGTAAGAAAATGTCTGCCAATAGACGAACATATACACAATACAATAGACGAATAGACCTTATAAACTCCCAAGAACCCGTGGCATTTACTTGACTTAGTCCGTAAATGTCACTAAAATACTAGGAAAGAGAAAGAACAAATGCAACATAATAATAAATAATATCTCACACACGGCCGTCTAATTCCAAAGTAGAC